GACCAAAGAAGAGTTGATGCTTTTGAGTTGTGGTGCTGGTGAAGAATGCTGAAAAGTACCATGGACTGCTGAAAGAATTAACAGATCTGTCCTGGAGGAAGTGCACCCAAAATGCTCCTTGGAAGCGAGAATGGCCGGACTTTGTCTCACCTATTTTGGTCATGTTGTCAGAAGGGACTATTCCCTGGAGAAGGATGTCATGCTTGGTAGGGTGGAGGGTCGAGAAAAGAGGGGGAGGCCTTCAATGAGATAGATTGACATGGTGGCTGCGATGATGGGCTCAAGTATAGCAGAGATCATGGAGCTGGCGTGGGATCGTGCAGCGTTCCGTTCTACTGTGCGTGGAGTTGCTATGAGTCGGAAATGACTTGACGGCACCTAACAACAACATAATTTGATACATATTTTAACAAGTATTTTAATCAAGGGATATTTTATCTTTCTTGCAATGATACCTTGATATGCATATCTAGTGATCAGAATGATTTTTTTCAGACTTATATTTCAAATATTAACTCATAATTTTATCCACTGCTTTTCTTGGTTAAATTCTCTTATAATTATTTTATTCCTACTATTTTATCTTTTTTGCAGGTGCAAACATTCATTATTTCAGGAAGTTCTCAAGTAAAATATTTTATTTCAGGTGGTCAAAATTTCTTAATTGTTGCAAGTCAACAAGATGATTCTGAATTAACTCAGGTTTGATGCTTTTAAAATATATATATTTTTCTTTTAATACTGCAACTGAAATTCATAAAGATATGGTCTGAGGTGTAGTATAAAGGAAATCATAATTCAATTGTGGTGAATTAGTAAAAGTAGAATGTAGATATTGATTAAAAAAAAAAGAAAACCACCAAACCCAGTGCCATTGAATTGATTCCAACTCATTGCAACCCTATAGGACAGAATAGAGCTGCCTCCATAAAATTTGTAAGGCTTTAAATCTTTGTGGAAGCTGACTGCCTCTTCTTTCTCTCACAGAGCAGCTGGTGGGTTTGAACTGCCAACTTTTTGGTTATCAGCCGAATGTGTTAATCACTATGTCACCAGAGCCTCAGCAGATATCTATCAATTGCAGTTAATTTTAACACAGTTATGACTATTATATTGTTTTTGAGAGCCGACTAGATATAATGACTAATGCAAACATTTTGTCAGAATTTAATAGAATTAGAAAACATCATGGAGAAAAATCACACAACTGGATAGATAATATCAATAAAAATTCATTATTAACATTGTTAAATAGGCCCTCAACTCAGCTCAACATCGTGGTTTTTTTTTTTTTTTTTTGTAAACTAAATCTCTTAATCCCAAGAATGCTTATTTTGTAGTTTTTATCATTCTTCAAATTCCCATATCCTTAAGTGCATTGCCAACATGGATATTAAAAAGATTAGGTGTTTTCTTTTTGTAGTGTACTTTGTGAGCAGTGGGTAATGTTACTGCACCGGAAAGTTTCTTATTCAGTGTTCTTACTCAGTTCTAAACTGTTCGTATTTAAATTAATTCTCTCTTATCTTTAACCTTCCCTTTCTTCTGTCACTGACCTCTGAGCAGATGTATATTTAAAATTGATTTATTTCCAAATAACATGCACACATATAAATGCACACATGAAAAAGGAGAGCAGCAGTTTTGATATTTTTTCATTTATGAAATTATTCTCCTAACTATATAATAGGACCCATAGGAATAAACATGTGTCATTGGCTAAATTCTCACAAGTACTAACTTCCTAATTGTGAAGGGTTGTGTGTTTGAACATTGCCTACAGGTTTTCAGATGGAATGGAAGAAATTTCATGTTGCATCAGAAACTCCCAGTACGAGGTGTGCTGAGCATGGCCGTGTTCAACAGAGGCGGCTATGTGTTCTTAGCTGTTTCCCAGGCTAATACCAGGCTAAATGTCCTTGTATTCAGATGGTCTGCTGGTGGGTTTATTAACTTTCTTGAAGTGCCAGTCAGTGGGACGACGCAAGTCAAGGCTTTTACTTCAGGCGATGACATTTATTTAATTTTTGCCAAAAATATCTTTCTAGGTGAGAAAATACAGTCTTTATAATGCATATATAGTTTTTTATAAATGTTATCTAGCATTCATATATTATGTTCTATATAAAAATGCTTTTGTAATATTTTTTATCTAATCTATAAAGTGTTTCTTGACAGATGACTTGGGTGAAAGAAAAGAATTCAAGTTTATGTCCATAATTGTGTGACTTTTTTATTGATCACTGCAAAGTTTTATTAAACTAAAATTATGGGTGGGCTGGTAAAATGGAAAGATATTTGAAGATATTAAACCAAAGTGAAAATAGATAACTTTTAAATATTTTTTGGTTGGCGTGCTATGGAGGATTTATTGTAGTAATAAATAATGTTTAGCTACTTTTGATAAAACTATTTGTTTCAAAATATTGTGATTATGAATATGCTTTCTTCTGCTTAATGGAATTATTAGGGACAAAATTTCAACATTTCTAAAAAATAATAAAGCATTTTGTTGCTGTTCTTTCTTTAATATCAGAACACGGCTAGTGGCTAACACTTCACGTAGTGAATGCTAAAAAACTTTTGAAGTGGTTAAGACTTAAGTTGTATTTCTTTAGCTAAATAAATTCTGATAAATTACTAAAGTTTTTAAAATTAATATTTTTATTATTTTACTGTGTGATTTTGTTATTTTTTCCCTGTGACTTTTACCTTTACTGTTGACCTTTATTCCACGATTGTAGGAGCCCAGAATTCAACTGATATTTTCATCTGGGAAACAGGACAGTCTTCTTTCAGATATTTTCAGTCTCTGGATTTTAACACTGTTCACCAGATCCACTCCTTTACAGCAGCTTCAGGAATAGGTAAGGGCTTTTAACTGCTAACCAACTCTTATATAGTCTAGTATATAAAACTAGAATGGTTCCAATCTGATTAAATTAGATGCAGTTTCAGATTTCTAGACACAGATATTTTAATAGAATATAAAATCAAGATCTGTACCACAATCCATCTAAAAATCCTAGGATTTCAGAAAGACATCTATTTTTAAAATTAACATTATACTTAAAATAATCAAAGTGACTAAAATATAGGGGGTAGTATTAATGAGAGTTAGAAAAAGATAGTATATTTCTTTTTTTCTGGAGAAAGATGAAGAGTGGCATTGAATATATATATATTTTAAATAGCAAAGTATTTATAAGGGGATAATAAGTATTTACATTTAACAGTTTAAAAATAGTTGGAAAATGACTGTGAGACGTTTGCTGACCTCTGGCATTCTCCCAGCTGTCTTCCACAGTCTGAAATTCTTTCTTGGTTCTCCACTTTTCTTCATGTATCAGAAACATAAGCAAGATTTTTAATCATTATGGTTTCAGAAACAGGTTCTTTTAGCAATGACCAAAGGATTAATACTGTCTGGGTCCTGCAGGATTATTTCAGAGTCGACAAGGAATCACTTGGGTGGACAAGTGACATTAAGGAAAAGAGGCAAAGGCTAGTTGATGTAGTGAATTTGTCAGATGTGAACAGTGTAGGGAGGGCACAGATAGTGGGGACACATGACAAGGTGCTGAGAGGAAGTTGGAAGCTAGCCTAAGTGTCACAAGAGACAAGTCTGGATGAACCAAAGTCACAAATTTAAATTGAGACACAACAATTCTGTCTGGTTTTATTGCCTTTATGAGTTAAACACCAAATATTTATTAGTTATGTATCATTGTTTTAAAATGGCAATGAATTCTTTGCCCTAAAAGTCTTAAAGTCCAGTTAGAAATACAAAAATATATAAATCAAAGACAGAGTACAAATACAATTTGCCCTGTAAGTGGTAGAACTCAGAGGAGGGAGAGAGAATTTTAAATGGGAGTGTTTGGAGTTCAGAGAGAGAGCTTGAGCTGGACATTGATGGATTGATAGGATTTTGATAGAGGTAGGGAACATTTTGGCAATGGAGAAAGGTATGAATGAGAAGCTATGGCATTGAGGGCACAATTGATAAACTGGAATGATAATGAAAGAGGATTTGATTAGTAATGCCATGGTGCTAAAGTTGAAGGCATGCTTTGGAATCTGTGTTGTTGTTGTTTGCTGTCACGTCGGCCCCGACTCATAGCGACCCCTCCTTGGGTTTCCGAGGCAGTATCACTACAGAAGTAGGATTGCCCAACCTTCCTGGAGAGGGTTTTTGAGCATCAGGTCCATGGGTTTGAACTGTACTTCAGACAGTGTAGTGGTTTTCAAACATTCTCCAGAACTTTTTACCGTCTTAAACATGTGAGGATCTTAAATAGCTTTTGTTTATGTACATTGTAGCTATTTATATTTATTATATTAAAACTTAAAAACTGAAAATGATGAAAGATATATATTAATTGACTTAAACCTAACAGTAAACTCATTACATGTGAACATAAATGTTTTATGAAAATAACTATATTTTTTTAAAAAAGAATATTGTGAGAAAAGTAGCATTGCTATTTTTTTTTCTTGCAATTTCTGTAATTTCTGATATAATAGACTATATCCAGAGTCTCACGTGGGCATCTGCATTCAGTCTGTTGCAATACTACCTTTCATATAGCTCTGGAAAATTCCATCATAAACTCATGAAAGAATGAGAGTGAAATAGGCTTATGGTATCTTATTATGAAAAGTTTTGACATCACAGACTCCC